GTGTTGTGTTATGTTGTGGTGTGTTGTGTTGTGATGGTTGTCCCCGCAGGTGACGGCATTATAGACAAGGATGAGTATCTGAGAGTGTTCAAGAAGTTCGGCATCGATGCAGCGGCTCTAGGAGACGCGTTCGATTCATTTACGAAGGTGAGCCGTACGCACATGTACGCGTACGTACGCGCTCATGCATACACACACACACACACGTAAGCAAATTTTTATACGCGTACATACGCGTGCGCAGAAGGGTAGGCTCACATAGACCTACATGGACCCAGGGTCACATGCACGCACGTATACATGCATGGGCACACGCAGGTAGGCAGGCAGACGAATACTGACTATCATTACGCAAGGTACGCCGTTTAACGTACGAGTAAATTGTAATAAACTAATAGCGTTTGCGTGTAGAATCTGGAGGTACAAGCGCGCTGTATCTTTTTGCCGCATATAAAATACATTATGCATATATAATTATAGTACAGGCACAACGTCGCCGTGCGCGAGATAGGAGACTAGGTTGACGATATAAAGTATACGGTAGCGTCTTAACGGTATTCATGTGGACTAGCAATACAGCGAACACGCGGTCCAAGCTTCACCCGCTATTGAAATTACACAGGTGTACCAGACTATGAATGTTTCCTTGTATTTCTGCGGGGTGCCGGTATGCAAAACCAATTCAATCAGTAGAGTTTCAGATACTCAATCGATCGCTATTAGCTCTCGCCTTGCGCCCGTTTCATCTGATTGTCGTATGGCGGTAAATAATTTATCAGCCTTCAATCAGGTCAATTATGATCATTGCTACCTTTGTTGCGTGCACGCTTGATGTCGCCACCGTCTTAGAAAGCATTTCATATTATATTTATATCCACGGTTCGTTGTTGTACTCATCTATATGTATTACAACCACACACCTATATCTATTCTAGATAACATGGGAATCTACTAGGATTTTACTACCAATATATGTGTAGGATCTAAACGTAGAATTATGTACTTCGGGGGCATATCAGTGGTTGTACTAATAACACTAATCATAATTGTACTAATAGTGGTTGTATAAGGACAATTTAGTTTGCAGTTCAACTCGGTAGATAACGCCAGCTACTCGTCCATTAACTATTTCTGCCACGTGCGAGCTAGGGTCCCTGTATAGGTATTACGCTTGGATATAAATTCCCATAGACGGCTATACTTACGAAAAAATTCACATAAATCAGCAAAAGTTTTTTTTACAAATAATAATGCCATTCTCTGAATACACGTCACAAGTCACAATATATATGTTATTAACAAAGAAATTCTTCCATAATTTACGATGTAAACAAAACTTTTGCAGCGCACATCAGAAATAGCCTACTTACAACTGGAATTCGCACAAAAAGTAGGCTTTTTTTGGAAATTTATGGGCCGGCCCAGAAACGCACCTCGGACGAGCCGTTTACATTGTCGGATTCAGAATAGATTCTAGTTTCTGAAATTAACAATTGCAAACAGTTATAATTTTTTCTAATAAGAAATAAAAATTCTAGCGTATGCAGACACTCACAAAGGAACTCATTCTCTAACCTATCCCAAAGCTGATTGGCGGATTTGGCATCGTGGTACCTATAGGTGGCATATTTTGTACTATTTTTGCACTACTTTTTACTTACTATTTTTGCACTATTTTGTCTCTAGAAAAGGCATATTTTGGCATTTTTTTTCGCCGAAATTCGGCACTAGAGTGCAATAATTAGCATTATGCACGCAGGGTGGATGCCTCGTGGACGTCGAGAAAGCATTAGAAGTAAAATTATTCTTGTTGTGTATTCGTGACATTCCGTCAGGTGGCGCAGTCACAGCGACCGGTTGGTGTTTTTTGTGTATGAAATGTGTTCAGACAACTTTGCAGAAATTCGCATCATAGAGCTGGCAAAAGTTTCGAGGGGAGCATAGAGCATGAATATGTAGTTATATAACAAGAATAAAGTGTATGTTTTGTAAGTGCAGTAACAGTGTGAGTATTTTTAATTAATTTCTGTTCGATGCTTATTCAGGCCTGCAGCCTATGGACGGCCTCTACTGTTGTTCAACACCTATACAGAGAGTTGCGCCATGACGAGTCGGAAAAAATCGGTCACGTGATCGCTGGACGGCATGTTGTTTCCAAATTGATCCACACCGCTGCCGCTCAAGTACAGCGCTGTATGGAAACGCTGTACAATGGTCCGTAATAATTAATTAGACTAATCGTGCTTCAATAAACTCAAAATTTATAGAGATTATAGCTAAGACATGTGCCTATGTGTATCTAGATTTCTAGAACTGCAAAACACATGTTACAGCTGCGAGCGAGTGGAGAGTGGAACGCATTTATCTTGTGAATTACAGTTGTCATTATTTTTCCAAAATGACTAGCTGCTGTGTTTACACTAAGAAAGTGTACAATTAAGCTATCATATGGCGCGAACGATTTGAGTTACCTTTCTAGAAATCTAGATACATATAAACACATGTGTTATCTATGATCTCTGTGATTCTTGAGTTTATTGAAGCGCGAGTGGTTTAATTAATTAGCAAGTATCTACGCGCGGTATCGCACAGGTTATTATACGCACGGCTATGGGCGGTAAGAAAGTGTACAATTAAACTATCATATGGCGCGAACGATTTGAGTTACATTTCTAGAAATCTAGATACACATAGACACATGTCTTAGCTATAATCTCTGTAAATTTTGAGTTTATTGAAGCACGATTAGTCTAATTAATTACTACGGACCATTGTACAGCGTATCCATACAGCGCTGTACTTAAGCGGCAGCGGTGTGGATTCATTTGGAAACAACATGGAGTCAAATCCTGAGTTGGCGCAACTCTCTGTATATAGGGACGCTAGTGCGAGCTAGAGGTGTTGTACAGCAGTAGAAGACGTCCATGGGCAGCAGGCTTGAATAACCATCGAACAGAAATTAATTAAAAATACTCACGCTGTTTCGTCGCATACACGACATACACTTTATTCATGTTAAATAATTACAGATTGATGCTCTATACTCCGCTCGAAACTTTTGCCAGCTCTATAATGCGAATTTCTACAAAGTAATCGGATCACATTTTAAACACAAAATGGCCAACCGGTCACCATGGCTACGCCACTTCACGGAATGTCACAACTATACGACAAAAACAATTTTACTTCTAATGCTTTCTAGACGTCCACGAGACATCTAACTTGCGTCATAATGCAAGTTATTGCACTCTAGTAACGAATTTCACCGGAAAAAAAAGAATAAGCCTTTTCTAGAGACCAAATAGTGTAACATCGGTGAGCAATTTGCGAAGGGTTACTGTTGTACGCGCCCTAGAATCTCGAGGATAGTCACACTTGGTTTGTGATTTGCAATTAATGTATATTGACTCTCAACGGATGTTCTTTTGTTTACAGAACGGTACCGTACCAGTTAACGCCGAATACTTTGCTCAACTCTGGAAGGAATATTTTACTAGCAATGACCTCAATGCGCCCGGAAATCGATTTTTCGGTTAAAATCACATGGTCGCGAATCCGCGTGACGTCAGTACGGAGTTCGTGGTTTGAAAGACCTTTACCAATGGCATATACGAAAATGTTTTGATGTCAAAGTAACTATATTTTATGTTGAATCTATGCATTTATATCCTGTCGGCAACAGCCAAACACGTCTAACTGTTTTTATCAAGCCGAGTGAAGTACTGTCGAAACTGTTGCTAAACGATTGACTACATGGATATATCATGAAATAACATTACGTTCATATTATTAAGGAAATCCAATGAACTCAATCCAAGTTTAGATGTGATATTTTTATTTGATTCTCGTTAGCTACAGTATTATCGCGATGCATCGTGTAATACAGACGTGTTTGTAATACAGATGACAATAAATAAATGTGTAATGATCCAGCAAGCATGCCTACGTCACCTCACTGACATTTTGAATATGTATAGAACATTTGTAGTTCATAAATAAATTCGAATGAATTTATTTGTATCATCTCCAAATATTATTTAGCTATTTAGCTAGTGTGTGGGGGGAGGGGGTGCCTGCGCACGTGTGTGGGTCAGTCAGTCAGTCAGTCAGTCAGTCAGTCAGTTAGTCAGTCAGTCAGTCAGTCAGTCAGTCAGTCAGTCAATCAGTCAGTCAGTTAGTCAGTCCGTCAGTCAGTCAGTCAGTCAGTTAGTCAGTTAGTCAGTCAGTCAGTCAGTCAGTCAGTCAGTCAGTCAGTCAGTCAGTCAGTCAGTCAGTCAGTCAGTCAGTAAGTTAGTCTGACTGTCTATCTGACTGTATGCCTGTCCATGTCGCGCGCGTGTGTGTGCGTGCGCGTATATTCCATCTTCATAATGAGACTCGCATACTTTATAAATAATAATTAATTAATAGAGGTCGACGTGAATTTATTTATTAATCATTGTTATCACTTATTTTTTATCTTACATGAGTAATTAATTGTAGCGTCTTTGAATATTTGTTTCACGATATATGCGGACGTATTTTTCAGGGGCCTTTACAGTCTAGAAACGGACCTATATCCTCCTAACTGCCTCCTTACGTAATTGACAGGGAGCTCTAGCCAGTCGTTATGGCAAGTCGCAAAGTCGACAATTTGGCACGCATAAAAATCTCGTGCAAACTGAGAGAGTTTGATTGGAGTAGTGACAATATCCAGTGGGGCATAGTTATCTCACCCAGGAGGATAGGTTAATTCACACATAAATAGGCGCACATGTATGCACAAGTATGTTGGCATACGTATGTATGTTCACGTATGTACGCGCAATAAAGTATATATATATATATATATAATATATCTGTGTGTGTGTGCGTGGGCGTGGCGTGTGTGTGGGCGTGGGCGCGTGCGTACGTGGGTGCGTGTGCGCGCGTGTCTGTATACGTATTTGTGTATGCGCACTAATATATTTATACATATGCTTTGGTCATATCTTCATACAACAAGAACTGTATAAAAAACA